TGAGTAGCGGTCAGACTTGACATGGAAAGCATACGTTAGAGGCTTGTGATCGGTAAAAAGGATAAAATTGCTACCTTCTGATGAGTGCCCGAAATGTCTGATGACACAGTAGGCTTCTAACAGCTCGCGACCAAAAGCGCTATATCTCGTCTCTGTGGGAGCAAGGCGTCGTGAGCTAAGGCGTGGCTTGAGCTAAAGCTTTTTAATCTCAGAAAATGCAGTACGCGCGGCATCATTCAATTCTAATGTGCGTGAATTACCGCGAAGTAAGTCGGTTAGTGGTCGTAACTGTTCCGCAGCGTGAGGAATGAAACGTCTGTAGAAGTTGACCAAACCGAGAAAAGCCTTCAGTTCCTTGAGTGAAGATGGTACATTGTACTCCATGATTGTGCGTACCTTGCCTTCACAAGGTAGAATACCCTCATGCTTAGTGATGTGACCCAAAAACCTTATTTATGCCTTTTCCACTTCACACTTGTCTGGGGTAACTTCTATTCCATTATCCGAAAGGCGTTGGAGTAAGTGTGTAAGATTTCGATAATGTTCAGCTACGTTTGATGATGCGATTAACAAATCATCAATATAGACGTAAAAACAAAAGCGAAGCCTCGTACTATGCTATCGATAAACATTTGAAACGTGTGAGCAGCATTCCGTAATCCAAATGGCATTCGTAGGAACTCAAGCAGACCGAAAGGAGTTGTGATAGCAGTTTTCTCGATATCTTCAAGAGCGACTGGGATCTGATCATATCCTCGTACCAGATCAATCTTAGAATAGATAGTCGTGCCCTTGAGTGGTGCCGTGATGTCGTGTATGTGGAGATTGGGTAACTATCGAAATTTGTGACTACATTTAGCTCTCGGTAGTCGCCACATGGTTGCCAACTTATCCCATCCTTTTTGCGAACCATGTGGAGTGGTGAGGCTCATGGACTGTGAGAAAGACGAATAATACCAGTAGCTAGTAAATTATCGAACTCACGTTTAGAGAAAGCTAATTTGTCCGGTGTCTACGTGAATCGACTAGCAGTTCATAGTGCTGTACGAAATCGATACCGAGTATGACTGTGGGAACATCAGCAATGATGAATGTACAAAGATACTGACGTCGGTTGCTCAGATTGACCGACAGCTGTCGTGTACCATAGGTAATAATGACAGAGCCATTCGCAGCGCGTAGTCCAAGCATCATAGGTTGAGACTTGCTGTTACCTAGTGGTACGACAGAAACGTGGGCACCCGTGTCAACGAGGTACCTAGAGTTAGTGTGGATATTGTGCACGTAAAAAAGGCGGCGAACCTGAGGTAAGGGGACGACGAGTACGGACGCGTTTACTTTTTCGGCTTTGGTTTTCACGTTTGCCAGCATCGGCTGATCAGTTGACCTTGAGATTTCAATTCCCACCATGAAAATCCATGGCTGTGATTGGCTGCTGTGTATTTTAGTGTGCTATTTTCATAACTGTCCCAAGGACGTTTCTATGATGTATAAATAAACGAGAGTTGTATGCTTGATTGTATTGTGTGATTGCTGGGTGTTTGTAGAATATACTTTCTACGCTTACAAAGCCTTCTTACTTTAGTTGGGGATTCAAGGTAGCCTACCTGGACGCTGGTAATTGTCTCATTCGCGTTTTATCGACTGAGGTAAACTCATAATAGCCTCGAGCATACTTATTGACGAACCCAATACGGGGTAGACCAGTAGGGTTGTCACACAGGATAGTACCTGAGCTAGTAGCTAGCGGCACTTCTTGGTACTGAAGGCAAGTAGTTTGGTGTGCTTCTGAACAAGAGGGATCATTTGATTGTGAAGCGGCCATAGCAGGAAGATCGAGTACTGGTAAAGTGACTGCATTCACTTGAATGCGTGACAAAGCATCGGCAACGTAGTTCGACTCGCCTTTAATATGATGAAGGTCTGTCGTGAACTGAGATATATAGTCCAAATGTCTGGACTCTCGTGGTGAGTAGCGGTCAGACTTGACATGGAAAGCATACGTTAGAGGCTTGTGATCGGTAAAAAGGATAAAATTGCTACCTTCTGATGAGTGCCCGAAATGTCTGATGACACAGTAGGCTTCTAACAGCTCGCGACCAAAAGCGCTATATCTCGTCTCTGTGGGAGCAAGGCGTCGTGAGCTAAGGCGTGGCTTGAGCTAAAGCTTTTTAATCTCAGAAAATGCAGTACGCGCGGCATCATTCAATTCTAATGTGCGTGAATTACCGCGAAGTAAGTCGGTTAGTGGTCGTAACTGTTCCGCAGCGTGAGGAATGAAACGTCTGTAGAAGTTGACCAAACCGAGAAAAGCCTTCAGTTCCTTGAGTGAAGATGGTACATTGTACTCCATGATTGTGCGTACCTTGCCTTCACAAGGTAGAATACCCTCATGCTTAGTGATGTGACCCAAAAACCTTATTTATGCCTTTTCCACTTCACACTTGTCTGGGGTAACTTCTATTCCATTATCCGAAAGGCGTTGGAGTAAGTGTGTAAGATTTCGATAATGTTCAGCTACGTTTGATGATGCGATTAACAAATCATCAATATAGACGTAAAAACAAAAGCGAAGCCTCGTACTATGCTATCGATAAACATTTGAAACGTGTGAGCAGCATTCCGTAATCCAAATGGCATTCGTATGAACTCAAGCAGACCGAAAGGAGTTGTGATAGCAGTTTTCTCGATATCTTCAAGAGCGACTGGGATCTGATCATATCCTCGTACCAGATCAATCTTAGAATAGATAGTCGTGCCCTTGAGTGGTGCCGTGATGTCGTGTATGTGGAGATTGGGTAACTATCGAAATTTGTGACTACATTTAGCTCTCGGTAGTCGCCACATGGTTGCCAACTTATCCCATCCTTTTTGCGAACCATGTGGAGTGGTGAGGCTCATGGACTGTGAGAAAGACGAATAATACCAGTAGCTAGTAAATTATCGAACTCACGTTTAGAGAAAGCTAATTTGTCCGGTGTCTACGTGAATCGACTAGCAGTCCATAGTGCTGTACGAAATCGATACCGAGTATGACTGTGGGAACATCAGCAATGATGAATGTACAAAGATACTGACGTCGGTTGCTCAGATTGACCGACAGCTGTCGTGTACCATAGGTAATAATGACAGAGCCATTCGCAGCGCGTAGTCCAAGCATCATAGGTTGAGACTTGCTGTTACCTAGTGGTACGACAGAAACGTGGGCACCCGTGTCAACGAGGTACCTAGAGTTAGTGTGGATATTGTGCACGTAAAAAAGGCGGCGAACCTGAGGTAAGGGGACGACGAGTACGGACGCGTTTACTTTTTCGGCTTTGGTTTTCACGTTTGCCAGCATCGGCTGATCAGTTGACCTTAAGATTTCAATTCCCACCAGGAAAATCCATGGCTGTGATTGGCTGCTGTGTATTTTAGTGTGCGATTTTCTTAACTGTCCCAAGGATGTTTCTATGATGTATAAATAAACGAGAGTTGTATGCTTGATTGTATTGTGTGATTGCTGGGTGTTTGTAGAATATACTTTCTACGCTTACTAAGTCTTCTTACCCTACTTTGGGATTCAAGGTAGCCTACCTGGACGCTGGTAAAAGTCTCGTTCGCGTTTTATCGACTAAGGTAAACTCATAATAGCCTCGAGCATACTTATTGACGAACCCAATACGGGGTAGACCAGTAGGGTTGTCACACAGGATAGTACCTGAGCTAGTAGCTAGCGGCACTTCTTGGTACTGAAGGCAAGTAGTTTGGTGTGCTTCTGAACAAGAGGGATCATTTGATTGTGAAGCGGCCATAGCAGGAAGATCGAGTACTGGTAAAGTGACTGCATTCATTTGAATGCGTGACAAAGCATCGGCAACGTAGTTCGACTCGCCTTTAATATGATGAAGGTCTGTCGTGAACTGAGATATATAGTCCAAATGTCTGGACTCTCGTGGTGAGTAGCGGTCAGACTTGACATGGAAAGCATACGTTAGAGGCTTGTGATCGGTAAAAAGGATAAAATTGCTACCTTCTGATGAGTGCCCGAAATGTCTGATGACACAGTAGGCTTCTAACAGCTCGCGACCAAAAGCGCTATATCTCGTCTCTGTGGGAGCAAGGCGTCGTGAGCTAAGGCGTGGCTTGAGCTAAAGCTTTTTAATCTCAGAAAATGCAGTACGCGCGGCATCATTCAATTCTAATGTGCGTGAATTACCGCGAAGTAAGTCGGTTAGTGGTCGTAACTGTTCCGCAGCGTGAGGAATGAAACGTCTGTAGAAGTTGACCAAACCGAGAAAAGCCTTCAGTTCCTTGAGTGAAGATGGTACATTGTACTCCATGATTGTACGTACCTTGCCTTCACAAGGTAGAATACCCTCATGCTTAGTGATGT